ATTTATAATTTTTACTCACTGTCTTTCCCATGTGTTATTTAGGGTAATTCATAAGTAACATGTACTTCCATTTATTATTTATAATTTTTACTCACTGTCTTTCCCATGTGTTATTTAGGGTAATTCATAAGTAATATGTACTTTCATTTATTATTTACAATTTTTAAGGAGCAAAAAAATTACTGGAACAGCTTGCTTTACTTGAAGAAACGATATAGTATGTAACATATTCACACAAGCTTGGTTAAGTTATCGTAATTATTTACAATTATGTTTTCAATAATTATTGGCTTCCAAGTTCGTAATTTTTGGACAGTTAATTTCAAACTCGTTTATCTATAAAATAGTCTGATCTAGACTACTTAAATATCATAATGAAGGTGTGGATTTGATCTGGACTGCTTATGTATCATACTCATGGAGTAGAGTTTGATCTAGATTGCCTAAGTGTCATATTTATGACGTAGAGTTTAATCCAGATTACTTAAGTATCGTATTTATGGAGTAGAGTTTGATTTAGACTGCTTAAGTATCATTTTGGTCAGGTGCCAAGTACTCCTATGATATTTAAGTCACTTTGGATATATAAAACACAGATATCGTTAAGAAAATATTTGGGTAGGGAAGGTCTTTCAGCAATATTGTGTATCAACTGCAAATGCTTAGTCGACTTTCAAGAGGAGCGCGTTTTGAGCTCGGGAAGGAGGTCTCAGAATTGGACAAAAATTCACTGAACATATAGAAATAGTCCATTAAGAATACTTTTGAGGACGAAAAAAAGAATTGATGATAGTTTTATGATCAGTGAAAAGTTTCAGTTCAATATAAGTATTATTTTTTTCCCGTTTCAGTTCGTTTCATTCTGGCATGAATAAACTAAAACATTTGAACATAAGCTTTCCATTGTATTGTAAAGAGATCTGAAAGTAAGGGAGGTCAATTGGAAAACTGCTTAAAAACGAACAATTTTTTTTGGTAAAATCTTGTAATAGTGCACGTGCGATAAATTTCTCATTACATTTGAACATAAACTTTCCATTGTATTGTAATGAGATCTGAAAGTAAGGGAGGTCAATTGGAAAACTGATTAAAAACGAACAATTTTTTGTTTGTAAAATCTTGTAATAGTGCACGTGCGATAAATTTCTCATTACATTTGAACATAAACTTTCCATTGTATTGTAATGAGATCTGAAAGTAAGGGAGGTCAATTGGAAAACTGATTAAAAACGAACAATTTTTTTTGTGTAAAATCTTGTAATAGTGCACGTGCGATAAATTTCTCATTATTCTGCATATCATACATTAAGTATAACCACCTGACTATATTTAAAATACATAAATATAACTACACGTTCCATCAACTGATGGGGCTGTATGTAAACCATACAATTAAAGAAGTACCAGTTATAAATACGGTGATTAAGAGTAAGATGATCGTGTAGTTGACAAAGAACTGAATGCTTTTAGCTTATTCGGAATTATTCGGTGTGTCTCGAGCAACTTGAGTAGCTCTGACCAGTTTCTTGATGCCTTTTGACTAATGCAATATAGGATATCTTAGCGAAAGCGAATACTTTCGATTTGAGATCTAAGCGTGGGACATTTTCAGTTTTATAATTAATAAAATTACAACAAAAAATTAAAAAAATGAAGTTCTGTTTAGCTTTTTTTTTTTTTTGCAAATATATCGCTTGAACGAAAATGTTAGGAAAAATCGACCAATAGGAAGAGAAAACCACGCCATACAGCTTCCTCTTTTTATTTATCCCGTTCTAATTGTCTTATCAGGTTTTCTGACATCTCATTTGTGCCATGTAATGGGAAAGTTCCGATTCGTCAAAAGCGTCATCTTCCAACATTTGTAAGCTACTGTTGCTAATGGAGTTGCTGACTTTCAGATTATCAGTTGAACCAGGACTTTCTTGCAAGGAGGCTGCTGGAGTATTCAAAGATGTTTCCTGGATTTGTCCAGAAGGAGAAACTGCCGAAGAACCATTAACCTGACGTAGCCGTAGTTTGATGTTAGTGGTGTGGTGTGGGGACTCCGATACAACAGTGACGTCAGTGGTTTCAAAGGCCGTAGAACGGTAGGTGCTATTTAGTCGAGATAGGTAATTGAACTTACTGTTCCTTCTTTGAAGACACCCACAACACCTGGCAAACGTGTCTTTGAAGGCTTGTCTGAACTTCAGAGATAAGATGCTGTAGAGAATTGGGTTGATGGTTGCGCTAAAATAGTAGGACACTCCTGAAATGTAGTTTAGTGCGTCATAAACCTTATGGTCAGTCGGGGTCGGTTCCGTGACGTAGATGGCCATTAAACGTTGGGCGTGGAAGGGTGCCCAGCAGATGAAAAATCCAGCAACCACAGCAGCTGCAAAGGACAAATAAAAAGGGTTATCCAAACTGACGAGCCTCTTAAAACCTCATGTGACCGACAAACGAAATAATATGACAATCTACTCTTTCGTTAATTAAAAAAAAGTTATGTATACAATGATTAAATTCGCACGACTCGAACTTTGAAGATACTTTACCATTGAGACAACACTCGTGTAAAAGAGGTTCATTATATTTTATGAGTTCCCCGAAAACTAATGACTCACAGTAAACTAAAGGGATTGCACAGTCTCACAATAAACAAAAGGGATTGCGCAGTCTCACAATATACTACAGAGATTGTGTAGTTTCGCGATAAATTGCACAGACTTCACTTGACTCACAGAGGACTGAACAGATGTGGCTAGGCCAGTGAGTATCCTTAAAAGTGTTAAAATGAATCAACTGAGCTGTGCAAATGGTATTCTATAGTTAATGAAACGGGACACAATACATGGAGTCAGAGTCGCAAAGAACTTAACAGACTGTAATACAGTTTACTAATAATGTTATATAATTAAACGACACATAGCGTTAGACTCGTAATAAACCGAAAAGATTGAACACACACGCAAGATACTGTACAAGTAACGCTAAATTTATAATGAACACGCACGCAAGATACTGTACAATTAACGCTATATTAGTAATGAACACGCACGCAATATACTGTACAAGTAACACGGGATTAATAATGAACACGCACGCAATATATTGTACAAGTAACGCTAAATTAATAATGCGCACGTACGCAATATACTGTACAAGTAACATTGAATTAATGATGAACACGCACGCAATATATTGTACAAGTAACGCTAAATTAATAATGAACACGCATGCAATATATTGTACAAGTAACTCTGAATTAATAATGAATACGCACGCAATATACTGTACAAGTAACGCTAAATTAATAATGCGCACGTACGCAATATACTGTACAAGTAACACTGAATTTATAATTAACACGCGCGCAATATACTGTACAAGTAACGCTAAATTAATAATGAGCTGCCCAGATGGCGCTACATACACACTAGATGCGCGTTACAAATATAGATTGAACATCAACATTAAAATATTAAATTTATATATTATCCTGGTGTGAAGATCAAGATATAATCAGAAGGTTCGAGATTTCTAAACCTCTTTCGTACTATAGAGTCATGGGTCGAAGGTCAAGATTTAACCGTATGTCCATATTGTACGTGTGACGTCATCAGATATATAACTTATTCCCATATATATCTTCGGCTATTTCAAATGGTTTTAAAGATATACGTAATCCAATTAGACATGTATATAAACCTGAATATACTAACAAAAAAGTACGCGCCTAAAGTACTTACATAATGTGGGGTTATGGGTTAAAGGTCAAGATTTAATCAGAAAATTAATAGTCGAGATCTCTAGAGGCTAATAAAATTGTGATTACTAATGAAAATAAATATTCGTAAAGATGGAATTCACAACCATGAGATAAAAGTTAAGCTCAGCTCACAAACGAAAGGACAAAGGTTAGAGCCAAGAAATAAAATAAAAGTCATTTGTTCTATGTCAGTTGATATTCTTCCTCAGCTTTCAAGGTTTGGTGCATCATAGCGACTGGAGTAATGAAAGAATCAGGTTGTTTGGATCGTATGTTGCTTACCATTTAATTTCCGAGTACATTTCTATTACTGAGTTACAGAGATCCAACTTACCTAAAGAGATACTAGAAGAATAGATAGAACTCATATTACAATAACAAGTCATTCTCCGTATAAAAAAAGAAATCTGTGTAGCAGTTTAAAAGTCTGTATCCCAAACAGCTATAAATATTATTTTTCTTCTCCTACGTTCCATTAGTAATTAGAACATTAAACAAACAATGTCGCTCCTTATGTAAGTTAACTATAACATTTAAAAGCCAATATTTATAATGTTCTAGAAACTTTAAATTGCCGTACATCAAAAATGTCTTCAGTTTCAGAATGTCGAATGTCTTATATGACCAAGCCCGTCGACGGGGAAGGGAAAAACTGCTTATGGGTCCGGGCGAATGAAACCTGGTTATGCCGTAAAACCCGCATAGCACTTTTGGGTTATATCTTTATTTAATCATAGTTTTTGGCTTTTATTTGCATATAGACGCTTGATACCTTAAGAATGATTGAAATAATAATTTGAGTAATAATTAATATATGTTTGTTACTTTATAGATTTAATAGATATTTATTGTTACTTAATTAACATTTTTATGTTTATACTGTGAGCTAAAAATGGCTTCTGCTATTATTTTTCCTCGTTTATAAGCTATTGCTATTCTAATTTAGGGTATTTTTTAAATAAGTTTTTAAAATTCGCCAGCTTTTATAAAACATAACGCTTTTCATGACGTTTTTGTTCCAAACTATTGACATCGTATTTTTTAGTAAACTAAAAAAATGTATCTACGAACACCACGTTTTTAGAAAAGGGAAGGATTGTAATTATAGAACATCGGATACTCTATTTAAGAATATTTTGTTTTTAGAGAGGTAATATAATAAGAAAAAATTAGCCGCGACCGGCAAAACATTTGCGGTTGTTTTCATGTCATTCGCTTGAATTTTCCATATTCTATCATTTTCACACACGCTATTTAAGCTAAGCTTTCTTGCAGGAATTATGTGTTAGACTGATAACTCCTGGCCTATTTGAAAAAAACATTTACGCGGTCAGACAAACCAACATGCGCAAAAGTAACTTTATTTAATATAACCATACGTAAAGTAAGCAACAGTGTAAAGTAATCGTATTTATAATAGTCTACAGAGTATGAAACAGACATTAGCATTTAGTGTATGACATCGTTTTACGACTTGAAAGAAAGAAACTCACAAAAACGAAGAATAGTTTGTTTGTTTTTTTAATTATGCACAAAGCTACACAAGGGCTATCTGTGCTCTGCCCACCACGGGTATCGAAACCCGGTTTCTAGCGTTGTAAGTCCGCAGACATACCTCTGAGCCACGGGGGGGGGGCACGAAGAATAGAATCCATACTAAAGAAAAAAGGTAGCTAAAAATGTTTATAGTAGTCTAAGAAACGAACCGAAGCTAAATTATTGCAAAGTAAAACAAATGTAAAGTTGTAATGAAGGCAAACTTAGCTGATTATGCAGAAACGCCTGAGTGCATGTTCACAAAGTCATACGCATATGGATTTGAACGAACTGGTGTTTGCGTATTTTAGACCTAAATAAGTCGAGTAAGCCATTTAACAATTGTATTTAGTGTAATTTTCATAAAACAAATTACACCCAGGTTAAGTGTTGTCTATGTGAAATACTTTGTAAATTAAAAAAACAAACAAACTAAAGTTGAAATCGAAGTTAGTCATCACGTGATGACAACGACCTTGTGCCATTGTGTAGCATACTCGTTGCATTGAAAAGTTTGACTAAGCAAAAATAATGTAAGATGATTCTGAACTGAAAAGCCAATATGCAATCTGAACTAATCAGACAAAGGCTTTTCTAACGATATGAGATTTATAGCGTTTGAAGGAGAAATTTGCGAGAAAGGTTTAGGACAGACAAACAGAGACCCCGAAGAAGCAGTCTGTTTCATTTAGAATCATTGGATGACAACAGTTCTAGATTACTAAGTGTATACCTACAATTTGCTGTGATTTGGTTTTTCTTTGTTGAATTTCGCGCAAAACTACTCGAGGGTTATCTGCGCTAACTGTCCCTAGTTTAGAAGAGATAGACTAGGGGGAAGGCATTTAGTCAACACTGTCCATCGCCACCTTTTGGGTTACTTAGTCTTCACGAACAAACAGCGTCACATTATTATGCCCCATACGGTTGAAAGGACAAGCTTGTTCGATAAAAGGATTCGAAACCGCGATCCGCAGATTACGATTTGAGTTTTCTAGTCACCAGGCCATGCCAGGCCCTCTGTGACTTGGTAACTAAGAACGCAGGCAATAAAGTGTTTCACGTAACAAAAGACAAAGAGACACGTGGTAAAAACAACAATCTGTAATCATAATGTAAACAAAAAATAAAGAAAACAATAATCTTGTAACACCATAGGACTCCTTGCATTGTTCATCAAAAATAATACAGTATAGATAAGAGATACAAATTATAAAACAGAGAAAATTCTCTATTTAAAATATAGCAACAAAGAACTGTGCTGTCCGTATATTGATGTTATTACTGCGTTCTAATGCTGAGGGTTAGTCGGATTATCTAAATAATAATAATACGATTTTTTTTCAAGTTCCAGGCAGCTTTTCACACACTTCTTATATCTTCGCTCACTTTGGTAGCCATGGTTACGGACAAGCGATTGACACCACTCTTTTCTTTGCAATAAGTTTTTGTGAGGGAGTGGGGAGGTCCATCTTACCCCTCAAGACGACTGGACACTTATGGTGAGGTTCATTTTATCCCTCAAGATGACTTGACACTTATGGCTAGGTCCATTTTATCCCTCAAGACGACTTGACACTTATGGCGGGGTCCATCTTATCCCTCAAGACGACTTTACACTTATGGTGAGGTCATTCCTATCCCTCAAGACGACTTGACACTTATGGCGAGGTCCATCTTATCCCTCAAGACGACTTGACACTTATGGTGAGATCCATCTTATCCCTCAAGACGAATTGACACTTATGGTGAGGTTCATCTTATCCCTCAAGACGACTTGACACTTATGAGGTGGAATGGGGTTGCTATGAATTCAGTTTTCTCTTCATCCATCTTTCTGATGAAAACAGCCAATGACCTAAAGTTGTGGATGGAGACTTGTAAGCTTTCATCATCTTCTGTCGGTTTGTTTGTTTTGAATTTCGCGCAAGGCTACTCGAGAGCTATTTGCACTAGCCGTCCCTAATGTTGAAGTGGGAAGCCAGTTATTCAACGCCACCTCTAGGGCAACTCTTGACCAACAAATAGTGAGATTGACCGTCACATTATAACGTAACTACGTCTGAAAGAACAAGCATGTTCAGGAA